TCCTTAGTAAAAGTTTGTCTCAGCAGCTTTGTGAATAGGTTTTAAGACAGGGTTCCGCAGGCCACATCAAAAAACACAGAAAAAAGTTTAAATTTTAATAATAATAACAATTATATATATATATATATATATATATAGGTCAGTGGCCCTTGACTTGGTATTGTTGGCAGAATTCGGCCCTTGGTGAAAACTAATTGAGGAACCCTGTTTTAAGAGAAAACTCTTAGCTAAAACTTTTACTGCCATTTAAGAGAACTCTTAGTGGTAAGATAAAACGTTTTGTGAATACGGGCCCAGGTGTGTTAAATATGGGGGTAGAATTGTTGCTTAATTCCAAATAAATAGATTATGATCCACAGATAAATAGAATGAGATCCACAAATAAATCTTAAAGTTTCACAAACATGAATTAAATTCACAAATAAATAAAATGAGATTTGCAAATAAAAAACATATTCACAAATATATATTTATGTCACAACCACAACTTTGCCTGGCAAATCTGATTTTATTTATTTGTGAATTTAATTCATGTTTGTGAAACTTTAAGATTTATTTGTGGATCTCATTCTATTTATTTGTGGATCATAATCTATTTATTTGGAATTAAGCAACAATTCTACCCCCATAGTTAAATGAGGGAGACATACAAAATGTGTAGGGATGGGGGTCTCCAGGACAGGCTTGAAAAACACTGGTCTAAACAACAATCCATATCAAGTAGAAAAATTAAAACAACAGCCTGCTTATCTTTAAAAAAAAAATACCTGTTTCCATAAAAATTTCCTCTCTGTTTGACCAGAAATGACAACAAGATCTGCATGATTCTTCTTGCAGAATGAGCGAGCATCTTCCATAGGTAGGAGGTCATCATTAATGAAATACTGACTACCATTGTACTGGATCCAGCCATCAGATGTATTGCTATATTCCACTGTAAGATAAAAAGAACATAATTTATAATTGTCTTCATTTGCAATTGTGTGATTTGTCAGATAAGCAAAGGCTGCACAATGTTCTCAATTATCTTTTGGCTGGTGACTGGTAAATAGTAATATTATATTTGTTGCTTTCTTATATTTAAAAGATCTAGTAAAGGGACATGTTGTCACGGTCGGGGTGGAGAGATGAGGCGAGGACTCAAGATGCAGGAAGTTTGGGCTTTTTAATACAACAACAACAAGCAGGCAGGCCAGGGGCCCGGTCTTCATACGTCGCTTACTCAGTGAGCTGGATTTGATTGTTGATGATTTGGCATGATCTTGGATTGTTTGGTTCTTCGAAGCTCATCCCAGAGTTGCAGTCATAGCAACAGGTCTGTAAGCTTTTCATGTAAACAGGATTAGATTGCATTTTTTTAAGTAGAATTGATACTTAAAATCTGTCCGCTACCACCACTAATTTATTACAAGAGTACCCTACTAATCAAGGGGCAATAATTAAAAATAATAACCATTTAAAAATTAAAGATAATATTGTTGTGTAGTGCAACTAGACTAGTCGGGCTAGTTTGTTTGGTGTGTTCCACTTGTCGGCTCTCGTCGGGCTCACTTCGGCAGCAGTTTGCCCGATTCAACAGCTCTTCGAGTGAGAACTCTGATTGGATGTTCAGTTTAGCGAACAAGTCAGTGGCCAAGAATTAAAGTGAAAGTGATGAAAACAAGCATGTAAATGAAGGCGGTTCAGACAGAAGGCTGTTTAAATGTTACATGATCTTTCCCAATCATTCAAATATGGGAATGTTTTCATAACAACATGAGCGGCTTAAAATGATTAAAGTTATCAATGTTACTGATATTCAAAATGGTAAGCAAGCGCTGCTTTGTTTACGTTTCGTATATCTGCGTTTATCTCGTATATCTTTGTTTCGGTTTCTCCTTTTGAATGACGAATATATACTATTGATAGCTGCTGATATGGACCGTTAATTCCTCTCACGCATGCGCAGAACACATGTGTTAGTTTGCCGTCGGCTGTAGTCTGGGCGGTGTGTTCGAGTGCAGCTTTTTGGTCCAATGCTGCCGCCTCGAGGCGACAATACCATCGGCTTTCGTCGCCGCTAGTTCTTTGACGTCGGCTTGGTGTGTCCTGACCTTGAGATTCATTTTACCATTTATATAGAATAACTAAACTATAGCTGACCTTTAGTGAGGGGACATTGTTCCTCTTAGCATCATGAAAAAAAAAACTTTAATTAAAATTCTGAATGCATTACAGATAGTCTAGTACAGGGGTTGCGAACATCAGTCCTGGAGAGCCGCAGCCCAGCAGAGTTTTGCTTCAACCCTAATCAAACACACCTGAACAAGCTAATCAAGGTCTAAACAGTTACTAGGAAGCTACAGGCATGTGAGTTTTAATTAGGGTTGGAGCTGAACTCTGCAGGGCTGCGGCTCTCCAGGACCAGAGTTCGCCACCCCTGGTCTAGTATGTGTGCAAAGAGTGCTCCCTTGATAATTTCAAATGCACTGAGCCTGTCACTCATCTCAGTTCATTGGTTCAATGGACGTGTCTGTAATTAGCTACACTGCTCAACGCAGCAAACATTCTAAATAGAAACATCTGATGCTCTCCAAAGAGCAAATGCAAATATGCACAGAAGAGTTTGCCAAATTTGTCATTATTACAGTTTCAACTAAGGGTGCTCTTGTTTTTTTTTTGAGAGAGTGATAAGCTCCCTAAACTGGGCATGACATGATAAACTGCTTTCTGTATGGATTTAATATGTAATGTTGCTTAAATACGGGGACAGTTGGCAATGCTACTTTGCATGTTTTAAGCACTTAGATTATGTTCTTACTTTGGCCATACATTAAATGCACATCCTTGAAAGAGCGCAGTTTGCTGACATTTACTTTAAAATCCGCATGAACCGGAAGTTGCTGCCGACTGGATTTCAGTGTAGTGACGTATTTCCAACTGAAAAGGAATATTGAGTAGAGGACAGGGTTTTGTTTTTGCACTCCTCCTCTCATCTCTCACTCAGAGCAGACTAATGGTCGGAGGGGAGTGGTTAAGCATATTCTGCCCAAGCCGTCAAACTGACATGAGAGAAGGCATGCCATTCCAAAGCAGAAGCAAATTATCAGATTTTTTTTTAAGATTACCAAAACAAACCATTTTTTTTTTCAGATGATTAACTTGCACAGATTAATTGTTGACTAGCAATGTGCGCTAACAAAATAAATATTGTAAATTTTGATTTCATGTGGACTTTTAACATCTCAGGTAATATCCGTGGTATGATGACAACGACAGTGGTTACATATAAATATATTTTAATTGATCGAAATGATTGCTAGGAACAATTCAGTTGCGCCCCTACTAAATTCTATATCCTTGAATTGAAGGTATTTTTTAGGAACAAATTTGGAAAAAACAAATACATTTTCCATCTAATGTAGTCTGGGACAGATTGTGTTATCTGCCTCAGGCAACAGCAGCACAGAGCACAATGAACAATTCTTCACTTTAAGTTATGTGAACTTACCTAACATGAATGTACATCAGAGGATATGTTGAAAAATAAAGTTCAACTTACAATCACGCATCATTTCTGTGCCTATAAGCGGTTTTAACCAGGGAAATCATCAGTATAACAGGCTGTGAAGAATGTGTCAGTTACGTGACATTTACCTCAGGAAGATAAAACCATGTAATCATATCGCCAAATTACAAATGCATTAGGCCTATACATTTGTGTAGAATATAAACAAGTTTTTATAACAAACATTTAAATGACTATCCCCCGATTTCACAGGCAAGGCTTCAGCCTAATGCCAGACTAAAATCTAGTCTGAGCTGTTTCAACTTAAACAAATTTGCTCTGACTGATTTTAAAATATATCAGTGCCTTTGTTTTTTCTCAAACTGCACACCAGTAATGTTTTTTCTAAGGCACGTTTATAAAAATTACTTAAAGGAGACATATTATGACCCTTTTTACAATATGTAATATAAGATTCTGGCATTCCCAGAATGTGTCTGTGAAGTTCCAGCTCAAAATACTTAACAGATAATTTATCATCATTTTGAAATTGCCTATTTTGAGTGGAAGCAGAAACACGCTGTTTGTTGGGCCTGTGTCTTTAAATGCAAATTAGCTGCTGCTCCCCGCCCCCTTTTCCAGAATAGAGCTGTGCTATTCCAATTCGGACCTGCTAAAAACATCTGTTTTGGTTCTGATTATCATGTTTATCGCGCTGAAATCATGCGTTTTAAACCATATGAGTTTAAACTTCAGATATACGGTTTTCTGAGTGCACACATCCGAAGCACACGGACAGAAAGCTGCGGTCACAGCATGCGAGTACTAAGTTCTCATTCACACACAAGTTTACGTTAAAAACACACACGAATTACAAAAACAGTTGGTTATGTCTGTGAAGGTAAACAGCTGGGAAATAAATTGCTTGTTTATTTTAGATCTGTGTGGCAGCAGCATTATACAGTAAAATAAATCAATAAACCCACTGCTCTTGTCTCCTCTGAGGCTGTGACTCTAATAGTGTTCTGTGCTCGTCTGTGCTGCCTAAGACAGAACAGTTAGCATGCTTTGATCAGACTTTCGCCATGGCATTAGAACTGGTACATCTTTGTCGATTGTGAAATCAAAATGACAGCGTCGTGGGTGGAAATTTACAGATTAAGGGGCGGTAATATTATAATGAGATCCCTTTGCCACGTCACCAAGGGAGCGAAATCAGACGCGCTTGTTTTCTCAGATGCTTGCAGAAAAAGGCTTACCAAAACAAAGTTACTGGGTTAATCTTTTTCACGTTTCCTTGGTTGGTAGATGCACCGGGGACCTGATTATAGCACTTAAAACTTGGAAAAGTCAGATTTTCATGATATGTCACCTTTAAATGTCCTAATTGAACTATGCCCTGTCTGTGAAACCAATGTAGCCTAATTTTATTTTAATAAAACTATGATTATGTTTTGTGCTCAAATTTATTATATTGAAAGATAATTATGATATTGTAAACAATAATAACTGTTTTAAATTATGTGCTGGTATTACCTTATGAACTGTGATTACATTATAAGTTCCCACAGTGTGTTCATAATGTAATACATTTCTCATACAATAACCTATTACATTGTCAAAAATTGTTATTACATTGAAAAATATTATTATATTATGAGCTCAATTGTATTACGTTTTGAGAAATTACATTATGAACATTTTATTACAATAATAATTTAATATTACATTATGAGCAGTTTTTACATTATGTGCAGTTATTACATTATGAGTTGCTACTTTTAATTATATGATGTCATTGCGTTGCTGTCTTGCTGCCAATCAATTGCTGCATTGCTGATCGTGGGTTCGAGTATCGATACATAGCCCCTTTTAAACCAACCCATGAATGCGTAATTATCTCAGTTAGCTCAATCAAGCCATACTAATCATCAACAATAGGTGCATTTGAAGAACCAAATTATCCAGATCCTACCAGAGGTAGACCAGGAAGCCAAGGTGGAGCTGGCAAGGCAGGAAGCCAGGACAGAGTGTAAGCCCACCAGGGAAGAGCAGGCAGAGCTGAAGCCCACAAGGGCGGAGCAGGCAGAGCTGAAGCCCACCAGGGTGGAGCAGGCAGAGCAGATGGAGAAGAGAACCACCACTTGAGAGGAACTGAAAAGGATGCTGCCGCCACTGGAGGTTCTGCAGCAGAAGCCGCCACCTCGGAAGGAACAGGAGCAGGCCCTGAAGGCTCCTGGAATGGAGCAGGATCTGGAGTGGACTCTGAGGGCTCCCGGACTGGAGCAAGTTCTGAGGCAGGCTCCTGGGCCAACAAGGCAGGGTGGCCAACTTAGGTGGGGCCGGCAGGGCAAGGATCATGGTTGGAGCTGGCAGGGCCAGGAGTCTGGGCAG